CCCCCCCCTTCCATAAATAATGACCGGTCCCTAAAGGTAACTTACGGTTGGCTATTTGAATCACAACTATACTAGACTAAAATAACAGAACAAAGTGCATGCAATATATAGAGAATAATACATGGGTGCGCGGAAATACCAGATTTATTTCGAGTGTTGAACATGATATCTCACGAGTGAGCGCAGCGAACGAGTGAGATATCATGTTCAACACGAGAAATAAATCTGATATTTCCAAGCACCCATGTATTTTTCTGTTTATTATATAAACAAAATTCAGTGAAAAACAATAAAACGTCCGTGGCAATGCGTTTTACAACAAATGATATTTTCACACGTAAAAATATCGTATTTTTTACGTGTGTTCAAATACGATTTTTCTCAGTGGCCAAAAACTCTATATAACACTTATGTTTATATAATAAATGTATATACAATCAGATAAGTCAAATTGTTAGTAAATCCAGATTTTCCCATTCCTTATTTCGGCAGCAAAAAATGTAATATGTAGTTCTAATAGCAATAGTCATCATTTTCCTAACGCAGTACATTTGGTGGTTTTTGTCAAGACCAATACTTTCTAACATGTCTAAAATGTAGAACATTCTTCTGCAAAAATACCTAAAGAGCTGATAGAGAGATTTATAAATATAACTTGGTTAAAATTTTTACCTAGCTGTCTCAATAATTCTCTATATTTATCCTTCTTCCGTTTTACAATAATAATAATAATAATAAGGTATAAAATAATAATGTATTAATAATTTAAACAGTGGTGACTAGGCATGTGAATTATCCAAAAAGGTGAATGAGGTGGCAACAGGTATATATTAATAAATATTATTTGAAAATGAAAGTGAAACTATAATTCGGTTCTACTATTAAATCATCAATTATTTCAAAATACAAATAAAAAAATGAAACTTACAGTTAAACTTTCTTCTTTCTCATCTTCATTTTTCTTTTTCCTTTTCTTCATTCCCTTCATTTTCTTTCGTTTTTTCTTCCCTATAAATGAAATGAGTCAGATAAAAAACATTATTATTAGACCACAATTTAATATTAAATATCATCTATCATATATTATAATAAATGGCTTAAAACTTACTTTTATTTGGATTTAAACCATGATTTTTAGCCACCGTATTCCCCTGCACACATTCATCCTAAAACACACCAAAAATTATCACAAAATCCAAACATTCAAAATAAAAAAAGAAGAAAATAAGATTATTTTCAAACCTCAGAATCCATATTGTTTATGCGCTAGACAATAATAGCAAACTTGAATATTTAGGTTTATAAATTTTATCCTTGAAAACAGGAATTTTCCCTTGTCAGTCACGAAGTAATTGGAAAAATGTTTCGGAAAACTAAGGAATTTCAGTTCTCTTGTCAAAGGAAATCTTGAATTTCGTAAACAAAATGGCGATCTCTCGAAGTGTGATTTTTCAAATTTTTCATCGTCCTTCGGCTATTTCTTGTCGTTGTCTGTGTACGAGCTCCAAGAGAAGGTTAAGTAGAGCAGACCCACTCATAGACAAGATTTTAAGAGTAGATCATGCAGGGGAAGTGGGCGCGAACAGAATATACGAAGGTCAGATGGCTGTATTAGGCAGCTCAAAATCTGCACCCGTTATAAAGGTATATTTTAAACAGAATTCTCTAGGTGGGTTTAGTTTTGTATAAGTTGTTATTTATTTTAATTTAAACAGTGTTTACACTATTTTAAAGTTAACCTGAGCCTGCAATGTCACTGACCAGCAACTTGATCAGCCGCCTGTCACATCCACCCGCTTTACACCCCAACCGCCTCCTCCCTCCACATACCTATTGCAAGAACCCCAATGTTAAAAAATTTAGTCTTTCTATTACATCGGCTGGCCACCTTAACATAGACTCGGACAAGGTCTTTCTGCATCCCCCCCCCACTGCAATATCATGGCACTCACCCCCCTAACCCCAATCCCAATATCATGGCACTCACCTCCCAGTAATTATTGTGCTTCATTCAGGAAATGTGGGAACAGGAAAAGGAACATGTTAAAAAATTTGATGAACTTTTACCAAAGTACCGAGTGCGACCAACAGCGCTGCTTCCATTTTGGAATGTTGCAGGTTATGTGCTAGGTAATATGTCAAGCACAATTGTTAAACTATGTCTTCCAAACTGTTCTTTCTTCAAGAAACATCCTTATTGCTTCAGTGTTACTACAGGAGGAAATCAGTGTAGTACAACAGTTATGGTGTTTGGTAGAGTAAGAAAGACAACTGCATATTGCAAGTATTATATAAACCCTCGTCACAGAGCTGAAAGGCACAAAACCAACATGTGACAACATCGTGTAGGAGCTGGTAGCGCACTGCTCGGTGAGAAAGCAGCCATGGCTTGTACTGTCGCTGTTGAGGAAGTCATTGGAGAACATTATGACAAGTATGAACCATCACTACCATCATTAATATCACTAATCTTGTACCACCATCACTACCTACCATAATCACCATCATCACTACCTACCATAATCATCACCACCTTACCACCACTACCATCATCATCACTACCATCGCCACCACCACTGATACAGTTTACTAATCATTAAATATACATTTGTCAGCCAATTAAGAGAACTATTAGAAGACCCAGAACACCTTGACAAGCATGAAGAATTATTGGATGTAAGTAATGCACAATTTAGAAGGACGAAAGTTCAATACACACCAAACATTGGGGTAAAAATTACGATTGCTGCTCTACGTTGTATTTAAGGTAATCACAAAGTTTCGAGATGATGAATTAGAACATTTGGAGACAGGACTGGAACACGACGCGATGCAAGTAAGACGACAGTTCACTGTTTCGTCTTCAAAATTATATATATATATATATATATATATATATATATATATATATACATCCTGCTCATCAGCACTACACTGATGAGGCCCATAAGGCCGAAACGGTATCGTCTGTAGTTATATATATATATATATGGATTATTGACCGTGCTAACAGTGCTGGGCAGGGCACGAAATAATTGCCGATCAGTTCGATCAATGATCAATGATCGGCAGGAAATTGCTTTTGATCGGCAGAGAAGCAAGGTTGCCGATCGTCTTCATCGGCAAGAACCATTGTCTCGAAAACACGGTTAATATCGTTAACGAACACCATGCAATACTACGGCATTATCACAGAACATATAAAAAGAACGTGTCCTATACTGATCGGCCAGATTTTAATTTGATCAGCAGAAAATCATATGACTGCTGATCACCATGATCGGGAACGTTGGAAAAGTTATTTCGGGCCCTGGCTAAGTGAAATGTACTTTGCTTTATTTTTTAGGCCCCATTCTATTCCACAATGAAGCAAGTCATACAACTCGGATGTCGAACTGCAATTTGGTTGGCAGAAAAAATATAGAACATAAAAATTTATCGTGGGAGAATATCAAGAGTTTAAATCATTAGTCTTAAGACAATACGGAATCGAATCCTTGTACCTGTGTGTATTCAGTCTTCCAGTCACGCGGAAAGTTTACGTCAGTCTAAAAAATCCGCCATTATTGGGTGGCAAATTAATGTTGGTCACTTTGGACAGGAAACCACTGTCACTGACAGTCTGTCAGAGTTTCCTAGAAAAAATTTCGTGATAAATCAAAGCGATCATTTCGAGCTATATCGAAGTAAACCTTGGGAAAATTATAGTTTAGCTTTAAAAATTTGCCACCCAAACGGCGGAAGTCAATGGATTAGTTTAAAATTTAATAACTCATTTCCCTATCAAAACAATGATAATTGGGCAAAAGTGTTATTTTTAACAAGAAGGAACTATGTTTAATCTAAGATTTACTTTCAGAGTACTCGACAGGAACTAGCTTGATACCCATGTCATTGAGGAAGTCCTTCGATGCGGAAGGAGATTTCAACCTGTACAAAGTAGTGTCAAATGTTATTTAATATCTTGTGTGGTTAATTAATTAAAACATACTTTAGTCTATATAATACTTGTGTATTCATTAGCTAATCCTCTGTACAAATCGAGGGATAAAATTATGTTTTATGAAAAGTTTGTCGATACATTACTTAAGACCTGTCAAGATATTCATTGAACAAATTGCAGACCTAATATACGAGTAAATAATATATGTACATATTTGCATATTTGATATGCTGAAACGGAACTAAAACACAGTTGAAACATTACTTATTGAAAGTCAGCGTTTTCCAACGTGATCTGCCACGCAGAAACGTCGACATTTATCGGAACAAGAAAATGTATTTCTTAGGATATGTTTACCGGGTAGCTTGCCATAGCGACGTGAAAAAACAGCTATCCGTATCTTTTAGGAAAGCTATTTTCAGAGGAATTATTTGCAACGGAGAGATGTTGTTTCGCTCAGCTTCTGAAAGTTGTACGTAACATTCCGTATGGGATAGATGCTTTTTTGCGCCGCTATGGAAAGCTTTTTGGTATAGTGTAAACCTAGCCTTAATTCTATTCATTGGCCTCTAAAACAAGGCCACTACATATAATGAAAAGAATGAACATTTCCTCATTCTGGGAACTGTCGTTTGAGCAGCATCTGTTGCACGATAGTGTTTTGTGAGCTGTACCGCAACACAACTCAGCTGTCAGACTCGTCCAACACTTCCAGAACATCACCTCGTTGCAAGTTCCCTAACTTCACTTTAAACTCGTCTATATTGCAAGACTTGCTCTGTCTTTGTGACCAAATATTTAACACTTCGTTTGTGGGTGAAAAGTTTGGAAAACAAGCTTTACTTTGTATTTTAAATACTTCGTCAACTGTAAGGCCAATCTCCCCAGCGAGTCCCGTCCAGTCGTTGTGCAGAGCGCAAGGAATGTCCATTAAACCACACACTTCGAGGTATTTTCGCACTCCAATACTCTTTAGTGAGTTACATACCACAGGCGTAGGGGAGTGGAGCCCATTTTGAACAACATCCTGCAGAACAAAAATATTTGTTGTTAGACTTCACAAAAAAACAGAGGCGTATCTCACAGTTGGATACAGGGCGGTTTCACTATTGTCATGATAAGCATACAGACAGAACAAAGATAACTAAGTATTCCTCAAATATTTCTTACAAATCCTTCAAAACTTAGAATCTACCGATGCAAAATTCCTACTGTGATCACAGAAACTATTATAGTATAAACCAGCCTCTTACCTGAAACGTTGTAGAGATTTGTACATCTTTACTCGTCCGAGAAGACCTGGGTTTTAAACCAGATTTAGGTTGCATGACAATCTTACTATGAAAATTTCTCCTCGTCTTGTCATTGTGCTCCAAATGAAACTCAATAATGAGCCAACATGATTGAAGAATCGCTTCTTTCACGATTTCGTGTTCAATCACCTGGAAAGAAAAGGCCGTTTAGGGATTTTTCGAAAAAGTCCACTTCACGAAATAGATTTGGGATACTGGATTTCGGTGTCGAGAGATACAACTACCAAAAACATATAAACTTGGACGTTTTGTTCGTGTGTACGTCCGCCAGGGAACACTTGTGCAAGAAATACTTCTATGGTTTTGGCAAGGTGACCTTGACATGAGATGTTTAACAACATCCCGTGTAATAAAACTTGTCAAGGAAAACTTGTTGACAGTACACACGAGAAAGTAAACTTGTCAAGGAAAACGTGTGCATCGTACACACAAGAAGATAAATTTGTCAAGGAAAATTTGTCAAGGAAGACTTGTTGACAGTACACACATGAAGGTAAACTTGTCAGGGAAAATTTGTGCATCGTACACACAAGAAGATAAATTTGTCAAGGAAAATTTGTCAAGGAAGACTTGTTGACAGTACACACATGAAGGTAAACTTGTCAGGGAAAATTTGTGCATCGTACACACGAGAAGATAAATTTGTCAAGGAAAATTTGTCAAGGAAGACTTGTTGACAGTACACACATGAAGGTAAACTTGTCAGGGAAAACTTGTGCACCGTACACACGAGAAGGGGAACTTGTCGAGGAAATCATGCTGCATGTCTCTACTAGTCCGGCATAAATTGGGTAATTGGAGAGGTTTCTTCCCGCCCAAATGCAGGCAACACAAAAGCTCAGTACTTACTTGATTTCTCTCGCTCTTCAGTGTACAACTTTCGTCAATATCCAACAACGATATCCTCAAATCACCGCTAACGCTGATACTGTCTGGTAATGGCTTCAGAACTTGATAGTTCGCCTCTTCTTCCAGCTTTTTAATTCTCTGCAACAGAATGATAAGAATTTTATTGACACGTGGCTAAGTACTATTGTGCAGAAGATGGTGGTCAACCTGCAGTTTATTTAAGAGTGAGAAAATAATGACAATTCCTTGAAAGAAAACAGGTAAAATTCAGACATTTATTTGACTGCATGACGTACCTCAAGTGTCGCGTAATCATTCTTTTGAAAGAAAACAACTTGAATGACAAATATTTGCCCCATGACAGGTTTTGACGAATAAACAACATATTGTATTTCCTTGCGGACATACTTTTCAGGCAGTCGTGGCAGAGGTAGCGATGGGGGGTCATCAGGACGTTTGGGTAAGGGTATCGATGGTGGAGTCCGTAGAGGAACAGGTAGAGGAGGTAGGGGGGAGTTAGGTGGTCTGTTTCGTGGCTTAGGGGGGAGGGGCGGTGGTTTTTGTCTAGGTGGAGGGGGAGGGGGTATTTCAGTGTCGTCTTCATCCTTCGGTTTTATGCAACTCCGCCAACAGTTTTGATAAACAGACCCGACATGAAAGACATTTATATATTCATGGTTTAAATGTGGCGCCTTCCTTCTGTCCGGTAAGTTCATGTAAATATATTTGCATGGCCTTGTTGGTAAATTATAGTAGACATACTGTGTCTTCATTGAACATTTCATTGACGTTAACCACAAACTTTCTTTATCTTCCACACTTGTTGAAGGCGCTATCCTCACTTGGCCTTCCTCAGGTTCACAAAATCCCACTGCTCGCATGCAAGCCTGGATGGTCCTCCAGATATCATCCGTCTGATCACTCAACACCACGATATTTGGCAACTCAGTAAAGCTCAGTCCTTCGTTAAGTGCCAAAGTTATTCCGTTCTTAGAAGGAGCAAATGTGTAGTCTAAAAGAGTCGAGTGATTTGGTGGCAAGCCAGCGATAAGAACTAGTTTGTTTCTTGTAATGTGAAGCACACCGACAGATGGTTTATTTTTTGTGGTTGTGTCCCGCACTTTGACATCGTACGTTATGACTAAAAAGAAGATGAAAAAACCGTCAGTATTGTGGAGTAAGTTGTCCAAAAGTAAGAAAAATTAAGTTTATCACTAAAATACGTTGAAGAAAAGGAATAAAGGCTCCACTCATCGCCAAAACCAACTCACAAGCTCGCTACAAATGCCTGAATCTAATTACAATAAACTGTCGAGCATTGTGATTGGATGAAAATACTTCCAGTCAGCAAGCTTCTGAGTTGGTTTTTGCGAAAGAATGAAACCTAGAGAAAAATGATTAAAGCTCAAGAGAGAACCAACCAGACGACATGATATTAAATTCAAACGTTCTCTGACCAAATATTTGACGAGCGATCAGACCTTGATAGCCTTCAACAGGTAACTAAGCTCACGGTCACCTATTTATATTAAAGTCTATGCGGTGACGTAACTGTAACTGAGTAATTAGTTACATAATTGGTCAATTATAGTACACATACTGCGTCAGTTAGTTAAATCCATTGAATGGTTAAATCCCTATCCTCATCCTACAAAGCTTAACTCAGTGGCAAATTTGACTTCCACTACCGCTATCTCTCACTGGCTTAACACGCATCTGATTGGTTAATTGGATATATCAAACGCATCTCATTGGTCAATCGGATATATCAAACGCATGTGATTGGTTAATCGGATATATCAAACACATCTGATTGGTTAATGGTCCCTTAATAGTAACGGTAGTGTAAGTCAAATCTGAACGGCCCGCTCCAATCATATAAGCTGTGAGCATCGTGCTGCGTCTGTGCTTCTTTATACGCATGCGTATTCATACCTCTAAGAAATTCTCGCAGTTTCGTCTCCATCACTTTTAACACAGCGATGTTTTCATTCCTGGCTTCAAGAACGATGCACTCAGAAAGTTTTGTTGTCTTCACCAGCACCAACGAGACACTGTGGCCAACAGTCTGAGATAAATAAACCAACCAGTCCTGCTTAAGAACTATCGTTTCAACGCAATCTTCCTCAGCTCGTCCTGAATCAACTGGATTGTTTATTTGAAGTCTCACTGTAACGAAAGTTGAAAGAAAAGTTAATTCACTTTGTTTACAGTGGATAGCTCTATCACTGATATACCAGTTATAATTTAAATTGTTTTCCCTGAAGGCCGGGTCATTTGCGCAGTGTTACTGCAGGAGGAAACGCGGGAAGGGGACGCGGGAGACTGTAAAAAAAACTCGTCTGATGTTCTACAGCCAGCCAATGTTATTCAATTGTTAAATTTCAACTTCCTTTTAACACTGTAGGAAAAGTTTTGACGGTTTCTACAGAATCATTTGAACAATAGAACTAGTGTCAAAACAGCATAGCTATCTCTGTCAGTATGATCTAATCCGGCGTAAGGCCCATTTGTAACGTCATTACTGTGTTACAGAATTTCCTTCAAAGAAGCGCAATTCCTCACTACAAAAAGACCGTACAGCACGGAACCGCTTGTATTGCATCACAATAAAGTTAACAATAGACAAAATGAAATAATAAACACATTAAAGCCAACACCTTTCCTTGAGGAATAAAACCTTCTTTCATAAGACAAAATAAAATACTTAAGTGTGGCGCATTTAGGGTACATTATGGGTTCATTTGGTTGACATGAGACACAAGCGGTTTGACATAAGCAAATTGACATGAGACGTTAGTAGCTTGGCATGAAACAGAAGTAAATTATGGCATGCTGGGGAGCATTGAAGCTTAGTTCCAAAAGCATCCTGCTCATTCAAATTTAAAAGAAACATTGTCATGTTAATTTTTGATCGTTTAAGAGTTTGAAACGATTTTGGAATCATTATTAATATTTTTATTAATATTTGTTCAAAAATAAAATTCCACAGAAAAAGTCCGTGTCTTCGTGGTGACGATATCGAACGACACGTTCCGTTGTGAAGTTTTCGTGTCAAAACATTCAGGAACACGTGTAGATTTATACACATATTACTGCATGATAACATAAATGTCAGCTACTGAGGGCAAAATGCTCATGAATTGTTGAGTAATAAAGTTAATGATTAACTACAACCTTACCTAATCCATCACTTTCGGCTGACAAATGCACATTAGACTTCCTGCTCACTGCTCCCTAAAATGGCGGAAATAGCGAGTTAATATACGGAATGTACACATCCTTCATAACTGTCACCATAGGAATTTGTTTGATAAAATTAAATACGCAGTATTACTTGTCTTACTGTACAACACTTGCGTTGCCGTTGTTATCGAGTAGCAAAGAAATATTAATAACATATTAAAAACAATCAATGTGACAATATTAAAACAATCTATACGTTTTCTCTAAATGGTGCGAATAGAGTTTAAAAATTCCATATGGTATTTACATATGAACACATCTGAAACATTCAAGGTGTATTGTAATGTCCAGTGTATTTGGGTCGTGTTGAGTTTTTCAATGTACCTGCACTGCCGTATGCTGTTACTGGTATAGCAATATACTAATGACGTAAATGAACTCATGATCTTCAGACCCAAACATTCGACATTTAACTGTTCTCAGTTATAGGGCCTTAAAACATTAAAACATATTAAACTAACCAAATATCCTGGGAAACATACCTTTAAGTAGGAACCTTTAACGTAAAACTGGCCGTTCATGACAGCATTTCCGACAACTTCGTTATTTCGTGGACCCATTCGTGACTCTGTTTATAAACCGTCTGCCTCTCAAACACGGAACTGAAAGTGTCGTAAGATTTCAGTTGGGAGCTCTTTAAATATTCAAGATAAATATGGAAAAGCGTAGGTGGTTTCAATACGTCATTTCAAGGTCAAATATATCATGTTTATACATAATTCCATTGAGCATAACATTTGAAATAGTCTCCATGGGAGACTAAATTATAAATTGACTGAAACAAACGGTCTACAATAATTTCTTTTGCGAGTTAGAAAACAACCAAACGTTAACCATTTTATATGTCAGATATTTGAATGATTTTTCGGTGTACTCAAATAATTCGTTTCGCAAATTGTGCTGTTTGTTATGATTTTTTATTTATTTTTATGCAAGAAAAGTACTTTAAAACGTTTTAGGGAGAAGGCATAAATTGCGCCATTTTGCTTGGAATACGAGGTTTATACAGTTTTGGCGACCAGGGCCTCAGCGCTTGTCACAAGCCAGGAAATAAGTCATTACTATAAAGGGCAATTACTATAAATGGCTCATTATATTTATTTTTGGAGAACCAAGCCACCTCTGCAAAAAGTTAATGAACTAAATTTTGTATAACTAGTATTGTACTCCCACATTTTTGATAGTATTTATTTCATTTGCGATAATTATGGTATAGATAATGATAGGGCTGTGCCCAGATGCTTTAGGGCAAACTCCTTTCACTTTGTGAGTTGATTCTTAATGCTTTCCTAAAACAAGTTGGAACACTAATCAAACCTTTATTTTGTTAATCTACAACCTCGTTCCCAGGCTCTTCCCTCTTGGTTAATCTAGAGCTTAAAATGTCTTCTGCAACAACACGTGACTACTAACTCGCATCTTCCTTTGACCATGCATGCCTTCGAAAATCTCAGTTTGTACTTGTAAATGGGAATTGTGTATTTTTAGGAAGGACAGACTTAAAATCAAATTTGTACATTTTTATTAGTAGACATAGATAGATAGATTGTAATTTCGGTTTTATGTTTTAGCATGTGCTTTTCTTGTTCACAAGAGTGACAAGACCCATCATATAGCAGTTGTTTTAACTGAAGAGATTATCCTGTTTACATGTTTTTTTAAATAAAAAAACCAAACACAAATGAAAAAATTAACATTATTAGTTGTCATTTCAAGCATCAGAGTGATCAGACGGTGGTAAAACTAATGACTGCAGGTCGGCCAGCGTCTGCCCAATAGTATGCAGCCATATGCCCACGTATTCGTGTAGTAATAGCCACATTTAGACTAGCAGAAATCTCAGACTCGCTCAGTTGCACGCAACACAAATGAATCAGAATCATCAGGACATCAGAAATCAGAATCACTGCATGTTGCCTAATAACTTTTCTTGTTGGCCAGTGTCTGCGCATTCGTGTAGTAATAGCCACATTTAGACTAGCAGAAATCTCAGACTCGCTCAGTTGCACGCAACACAAATGAATCAGAATCATCAGGACATCAGAATCACTGCATTCTGTGATGAATGTTGTTGTTGTTGGCCAGTGTCTGCGCACAATAGTGTGCAGCCATATACCCACGTATTCATGTAGTAATAGCTACATTTAAAATAGCAAAGATCTCCGTCAGTTGCACGCAACACAAATGATAATCATCAGAAATTAGAATCACTGCATGTTGCCTTGTTGGCCACTCTCTGCGCACAATAGTGTTCAGCGATACCCACGTATTGTAGTAATACACACATTTAGACAGTAGCAGAACTAGTCTCAGTTGCACCCAACACAAATGAATAATCACTCAGAGTCTCAGACGGTGGTTACTAAATCACCGCATGTTGCCTTGTTGACCACTCTCTGCGCCCAATGTCAATAGTGCTCAGCGATACCCACGTATCCATGTAGTAATACGCACATTTAGAGTAGCAGAAATATTTGTTTGTACTTACTGGTGAACCTGTGGTGATTCAGTAATCACTGCATGCATATATTGTCTGTGCCGACAATAGAGTTTGCAGTGATGCCCACGTGCTGTAGTAATACACACAATTAGACTGTCAGAAATCTTTGTACCGCTTACACCAAACCGACCTTCCATTCCATATTTGGTAAATATCCCTATTAATCCAAAGCTTTCCTGTTTAGTCGCTATATTAATTTCTTTGTTTGATAGCATGACGATAAAACATACAATACTTTTTGTTTGTGGAAACACATATTATTAGCACTGATGACGATCCGGGCTTACGGATTGAAAGCTTTGCAGTCACTATATTATCAGCCGGATCAATATACAAGGGTCAGGTTCGCCTACTGTAGGTTTGTTTTATAGGAACCTAACCCAACTATTTGGCTTATTAGTTTCTGTGATCACAGTAGGAATAGGCACGTTACGCACGTTAACAAAAAACGTAGGCTGCAAACTAAAAACATAAATGCTTGTACCTTTCTGACAACACGAGTATTAAGAGAGTGTTCAGATAAAGACATGCCCTATAAAAGATCATTCAACTACAGGATATCTAGTTTACACTAGCAAAGTTTCTATGACTACAGTAAGAATTTGACACAGGTAAATTCTAAGTTTTAAAAGATCTGTAAGAAATGTTTTGATCAGTGCTAACACATGAGTTAGTTGCCTCAAATATTTCTTACAGTACATGTTGGTAGAGTAGGCTCTCTAAGTATTGCAGTACGTAATCCACACATTTATATTATTATTATATTTTATATTACTAAAGATCTAATGAAGAATGTGTCATGTTCGTTTCGTAAGGGCTGCTGTAATTTTATTTATTTATTTGTTTATTGACCATACGAGAACAGGGCTGATGTTTTCTGGGAGGGGGGGGGGCGCAGTTGAAAGTTTGCCCGAGTTTTTATGGAGAATTGTAATGAAATAACCTGATTTTAACATATTTTCTGATAAATCTGCCTGAATTTTCTAAAGAAACCTTCATAGGCTTTTAAGGTAAGACCCCTAGTTTAATGTCCAGTGCGAAGTTTTATATAGTGTCAATCAGTGTTAAAAGTTTTTACAAGAATATGAAGATTAGTACATTAAATAATATTGTTAGTTTCACTAGTAAGAATAAAGTACATAATAAGGAGAATAGAAATTGGCGTAAGCCGTAAGCTGTAGCACTACTAGCAGCTGTAGCAGCTATGATTGATAGGTTGTATATTCTTGTATTTGTATTTGTGTAGATTGTGTGAAATTGGCAAAGCATAATAAATAAATAAATTTAGCTATAAAGTGTGGTATTCAAAGTATGGAAGTCATGCGTGCGTGACAGCATGTCATCAGCAATGATCAGCCCACACACCAAAATTTCTTAATTTCACAGCTATAGGTGTGGGAGGAATGCAAATACACGTTACTGTACAATCGCATCTCAAACGATACACAAACGTAGACATTCTAAAATGCCTGAAAAGGATATGTTAAATATGATGGGGGGTCCAGTGTAGGTAGAATTCTATAACTATGATAAGCTTCCGTTTGTGTGTCTGACCTTGTCCGAACGTGCCCTTGGTGTAAAATTGGACTACGTTATCATTTGGTAGTTCAAACACAAATATCGAAACCACGGGAACTTGTTGCAGATTGCCCACGTGGACCTTTTTCACATGAGTTTCCTTTTCTTTCGACAGAGAATCCCCTTTAAGTGTCTTTATTACAAAACTCTTATAGGTACAGGACTCGCCATATAAAGAAGCTTTCATATAGATATAAAACTACACTACTTAATAAGCAAAACACTTGACCAACTAATTATTTGATCAGATGACTAAATATTTGTCGAAACGTTGTGTCCATTATAGTTGTGTGTTTCGATTGTGTCAACGCCACCCCCAAATTAGCTCAATTTGCGCAATTAAACACTCTTGTTGTGAAGTGTGATTCTAGCCTATGACTTCTTTATAATTTCTTCTTAAAAATCACGTTTTTCTGAGCATACTTTTATTGCCGGTATAAGATCTTTCAACATATCATATACTTATATATAGCGACATTTTTTAAGCTTTTCCAGTTTTGAAGTGGTTAAAAATTGTATCGGTTTCACCAGGAGTACAGCATATCTAGTTTTGGTCAAATTTAAAACCTTTTAAAAGTAAAATATTTTTTTGTTTGCCAGAAATAAACTGATTGGAAGACCACAGATGCCACTCAGTTCAACGACTGAGAAAGTAAATAGAAAGCTCTCCAAATATTACTGATAATTTAGTCAATTTAGAAACTCGTTATACAATGACATGTAGAAAACTGGATTATCTATCAAACCAACCTCAATATCTCAAAAAAGGAAAATAGATATGGAAAAACTTTAATATCATTTTAAAAGTTCTTCTAGTAAAAGTATAATTGGTGTATTGTGCCAGTGAAGAGACATGCAGTAGCCATGCAGTATTAGGCAAATTAGCTTCCTGAGTTTCCAACAAACCCTCTATTTATTACGCTCAAATTTGCCGGCAGCTTTTAGCCTTTTTCGGAGTTAAAATCTCCGACAAATCGCGACTTAATCGTTTTTCTAAAGCTCGTGGGCGAGGCAGTAATTGTCCACTTCCGACGGCGTGCAAATGAGGCCTGGTACAGCTTGCATCTTATATCATAAAACATTATTTGGTCATACTAATTTATGATCGATTAAGAACACCACACAACTTTTGCCTAAAACTGCATGTCGTATGCAACCTGCTAAAAATAGCTTCCAACTCGTCTCGTTGACGTATAGGGTGAGTTGTGTGCTTGATTTACACAGTACAACTCAAGTTGGAAGCAGGTTGCATACGAGAGTTTTAGGCAAAAGTTATGTACAATGTAAATAGACCTTTATTTAATCTTTATATACTATAAATTCACCATGCACAGCTTTTGTTAGCCTGCGTAAGCCTGCGGTTTTAAGGGTTGGGTTGAGGCGCGGGCAACGAAAAGCAATGAAACACAATAAACTAAAATATATATTTTTCTGACGAATGAATCACGGATCACCAATCACAAAACATAGTTCTTCAATTTTTGGCTTGATTGAAAATCTTATATATCTACATAATACACTTATAGAATTCGGTGTATCAAAGTTGATTTTATCACATTATCCATATATCAATTGACCGGATGTATCTTTGTTATGTAATTACGGGTCACGCTTCCCATCAAAAGGTCAAAAGTTTCTTGGGTTGGCCCAGGCGTGTATCAACGTGGGCAGTATTGTAAAAATCTCTCTAACTGAAAAGTTCCTGTTTGCAATGGTCGCATGGTTGCAGGGTTTTCATGGTGAAAATAAGTATGATTGCTTTGTTTTGTTTAAAACGCCACGCTTAAATATATATTTGGTAAAATCATCTGTATACCCGGTCGTCATCATTGCAAATAGTATATATATATATATATATATATATATATATATATATATATATATATATATATATATATATATATATATATATATATATATATATATATATATATATATATATATATATTTTTTTTTCATATTACCTCAATATATATATATATATTATTGCGACCAAAAATGATCAAATTTTACAGTGTGGAAAGAGTGCTCAATATCATTTATAAACGTAGAGCAAATAATTAATTAGTGTTAACTTAAAATATATAGTCACAACTCAGAGTTTCACGCTCAGTGCGATCTTCAGGCGACGATGTATAAGTCTCGATAAAAAAATTCCTGTATAGATATTTAATATCTATAGGAATATAAATATCTATAGGAATATTATTTTATTTATTTTCCTGTATAGATATTTACAGGAATTTTTTTGACAGATCGCATTGAGCGTGAAACTCTGAGTTGTGACTATATTTTAAGTTAACACTAATATTTATATAGACAGATATTTATGCACAGATATTTATATATAAAGAAAGAAAATTGGGATTTAAAAAAATGGATGTATATAGAAAACCGTTGCTTATAGCAACTAGAGTGTCTGACGTACTATAGGCTACAACCCCTATATCTATATGGCTCCAACCATGAAGGAAGTATTTCCGGCGAGTTGTGGGCACGTTTCTGTTCACAAACCTCAACGTTTGACGTACACTCTCGGGAGTGAATCAAAATTTCTTTGTTATACCTAAAAAAATCAAGTGAAGTGTATTTCTAAAAATATCTATCTAGACAAAGAGATATTATTACAATGAACTATTAAATAAAGTGGTATTCAAAACATCATAAATACTCCTGATCTTATAGTTTGTGCAATGCTGCATTAGTCTAGAGAAAGAGTTATTATTACAATGAACTATTAAATAAAGTGGAACTATTTAAAACATCATAAATACTCCTGTTATAAAACATTACTTTATATTTTTACAAAGTACAAAACAATCATTAAGATATCCACTAAAATCAACTATTCTTTTCAATGAATGTCTTGCCTGCAGGCAATTTCTACAGTCAGTTCTATAGATTATACTGGCCGGCTATATACTTAAAATTGTATGCATTTATTACACCTAAGTAGCAGCTGTGAAAAACAGGGGTGGTTCCAACAAGGTTTTTCTAGGGGGGTGCCGGGTGAGCAGCCGAGTGTTCTTTATAATTCTTTAGGGGGTGGGAGAGCATTCAAACGAATTGGCTTCCGAACAACTCGAGCGCCGAAGGCGCGTGCTCCCTAGGAGATCCAGGGGTATGTTCCTGGAAAATTAGAATCCTATAGAAATACCATTTCCTGCGATATGGGCATTGAATTATGAGCTTCAGTTTGACTTCAAGAAAAGGAAAAACCTTGGATTTCCTGAATTTGATTTATTTGCACCCCCCTTGCACCCCTGTTGACCAAGGCCAACAGGGGTGCGCACCCCTGTGCAACCCCCTATAAATCCACCCATGGTGAAAAATGCAACTATAGGCCCTGTGGCATGAGGAATCGAACCTGCGGCCCTGGTGCAAGTTTTTTTGACTTACCAAGTATATTGGCTATTTACGAGTATAGAACAGGAAATACATAATCCAATTTTTGACGAGTATTTTACAATGATTATAGTCATGAAAAAGGAACACGAAATAACAATTGCATGTTAAGATTACCTCGCGTGAAGCTGGAGGTAGCAAAGCAAAGCTTTTATTTTGGCGGAGCGAAATTATAATGCTCTACCATTAGATTTAAGATCAATCCAAACTGTCGAAAAATTCAAGAAAGGCTTGAAGGAACTGTTTTAACATTTTGAACATTTTTAATATTCATCACGTAATATTACTTAACAATTATTCACCGAAGGCGAGGTGATTATCGGTGAATAAAAACCGAGACGAAGTCGAGGTTTTTATTCACGATAATCACCGAGCCTGAGGTGAATAATTGTTTTAGTATAATTTCATAGGTGATTTTTTGGAAAAAAATTAAAAAATGCACATTTCTTCGTCTTTTAATTGACAAAACGGCTTCGGCCGCCATTTTGAAAATCGCTTAGGTGATTATCGCGTAATAATCACCTCAACGGTAACCAATCAGCGTGGAGAATTTTCAATAATCACCTATGTAATTATACTAATAATATTTAATGGTTTTTAGTAGTTGTTTATTATTAGAGACGTATGTTTTACAGGACAAGCGTGGATAGCAGTTCTTGCGTTGTATTTTACTGTAAATATTATGTAAAAAACTGAAGCTTTAATCCTGTATAAATATTCAGAAATAATAATAATATGCTTAATTTAACCCTCTTTAAAAAAAGTGGATTGATTGATCATACATGCAGTTAGCTCTGCAAGTGAGATTCCTAAACAATCCAGTTCTAGACCTAGTCTAAGGCGTCTTAGTATAAATCTTAACATAGTGCTTTACGCCACTTTCGAGACGACAATTGTTCTATATTTACTTCATCATACCATAGATTGTAAAATTACAATTTTATATACAATCCATGATCATACTACCGCACTGCTTGCAAAAACTCTAACACGAAGCAAAAACAACGCAGCAACTCTGGATTCGTCTGGCCAGCATAACCAGGAGTGTCCTCAACGCTAGGCACTAACATGAACTGGATCAATTCTTGAAAAGCATCGGAGGTGAAATCTGCCCACCGTTTCTTAGAAAAAGTTCGCTTTGTCACTTTCACGAGATCTTCGATTTCACCGTTCCCGACCCGCCACGCAAAAATACGTTCCATCGTTTCGTAGAATTCCATAATTTCGTGCGCGTTGTGGCATTTTCTTAACATTGCCTTGAGGCTTGGGTCTTCAATGCATGTGCTGGCAGGGCTTTGCTCGCTGTCAAAAAGAAGTTTCTTCTCGACATAACCGAGGCTCCAGTTACCGACGCATTTCATGAATTGCGACATGATACTGTTTTTCTTGGAATTGGGGAGGACGGCATCTAAGTCACAAATTACAGCGTAAGGAATTCCGAGATCTTTGCAAGTTCTCGTTGCTTTGTCGATGTTCTTCTTGCCTGTAGAAACAGAAATGGTTTGTTATCATGATTACAGTAAGTACAACAATGATTAATGACCACCGTGCTTTATTTTATCCTGCTTGATGCCAGACGATTTCACCGTCGTCACTGGCGCTCAATGGATGATGTTTTGACTACTTCACACCCTTTACAGTAAAACTGGACTTATTAAAACGCACCACGCCATTAAAACATGTTTATAACTACATTTGCTCAAAATTACTCCCAAAATGCGGGAAATGCCATTTCAAAGACACAAATCGAGAGGGGGCAACCGCATGCCCCCAGACCCACAAAGAAATGCCCGGGCTAAAAATGCTTCAGACTAAAATAAATTTCCCAATTTCAGGTAAACACAGATTTTTTTTACTTCTGGCTAACACCCTGGTCAGTCAGTAACCTTAATAAGCAGTTAATGAATTACCTGACAAAGGCAAGACACTGCAACTTCTGGCAAGTTCCTGACAATCACCAAGCACCTTAGCTCTGAAATACTTCCTCTTGTATGCTGATGTTTGAAAGAGATTATCCAGTGGATTTATCCCTATTTTGCCATAATCTACCTCATCCGTACTGCTATCACTGCCATCATCCATGTCCTCGACTGTACCTGTTGATCCTGCAGGTGCCCCTCTGTATTCTTCATCAATATCCTGGGGATCCATAAGGATACTCCAAAGTACATCATTACCCTCATCAATCAGTTTCAACATTGCTTCACAAAACCGTCGATCTGTGTCGCCTTCAACCCATATTATCCTACGGGTAAAGAACAACTCTCGACTTTCAACAGAACTGATGAAGCGAATATCACGGTTATCGTGTTTTACTGATGTTCTTCGAACTTCGACAAATCCTGAATCAAGTTGCTGGAAACGGAATATCTGGTTGATTTGGGATGTGTGCACCATATCAGGGGCATGGGTGGCAACAATGATCACTTTGTCTTCTTGCAAGGATTTCTGGGAGAGGATCCGCTGAAGACGACGAATCTGAAGTGGATGCATGCCACGGGTTGGCTCGTCAAGGAGGATCGTCTTAACTGTTGGATTAACAACAAGGAAAGCAATGAGAAATGCATGAAAGAATCCTTCAGGTAAATCATCTCGGATAGTCTCACAATGACCATACTGCTGTTTCATGCGGACGGCCCCACTTAATGGGTCATAAATCACAGTTATTTTAGTATTGCCTGTCAGTTCATGAAACAGCTCAATGATATCTGCCCAGACAGTGTCGCGAGACTCAGCTGCTAATGTATTCCTGAGAGCAAGGATTAACAAAGCTTGGGGGTTTTTAGGATTTAAACATTCATTGGAATTATCTTCGTTAGAAACTGGTGTTTTTAAATCTGGAAGGAAATTGCATCCAGTCGAGACCAGAATGGACTCATCTGGCATCCAATGCAGTAGGTCAGTGTTCTCCAGGCCCTCCACGACAGCTACCTTAGCCTCGCCATTCAGCTCATGTACCAATGCAATAATGCTGGAACCCGATTGGACGTACAAGAATTTTGAGACGACTGCTTCACCACTCGATTCTGACGACGGTAGATGTTTGAAACCAATGACAACAGTCAAATCCTTCGTGTTTGACGCCAAGTATTTCTCAGAAATATATTGCTGTAACATGTGGGGGATTTTTAACACACCAGTTAAAAACCACAGCTCCAACACAGGGTAGTTGTGTACGACATTACTGTGCGTGTTGGTCAACTCCAACCAGTTTTCAATTACATATTCACACGAGATCACAGATCCTTTAGCTTGATCACATACATGGTTTGTTACTTTGCCTGCAAAGTCGCTAGCAAGGCCAACAAGAGCTAGGAATGTGCTCTTTCCGCTGCCGTTTTCACCAACCAGTGTGAAGTACTTGCTATTGGTTGACAGTGATGGTCCATGACGGAAGTCAAGTACTTGTTTGTTGTTGAAAACTTTGTAGTTGTCGATAGCAACACGCTTCAAAGTGGCTCCTGCCATCATCTAATTCTATAACCATATTCACCATATTGTTTAATCACATATGATTTATGTATATAGCTAATTAACCAATTAAGATGCATGCACCCTACTTTATTATTTTACTCGAACTCCAGCCAATTTTACCCGGGAGAGCACTGGAATGTGTCAGTGTGTCACATAAAACCATGCTATAATATTAGTTGCAATTAAATGGCAATATTCAATTAAATTGCAGTATAAATATCAAAGTGTAAATATCGACGTATAATATTACAGTGAATTGATATCAAACTTTGATGCACGATGTATCAATTTTTCATAATTCGAAATTATTTATAATACATTAAACATTTAAACTGGCCTGTACTCTTAGCGTGTCAACAATCAGGCGTACTTTTTACTTCTAAAGAAGTCGTGTCGATATCACAAACAAAATCTTCTTACCTTTCAGTGAAAAAACCTTTTCTTTTGGGGAGTAACTTTTTCTTCGAGAGGATTTAGTCTATTTACAAACATGCAGTGACTCATGTGCAAATCACAGAATAGATATTTCTATTATATTGTTTGCCCAACACTGATCTATATAATATATATACGAACTGAACCACAGTTTTAACCCAGGGGACAGAATTGTTAGTTAATTTCTAGGTGTTTTTTTTTGAGGGGGAGGCTATCTATGGGAGAATATTATGGGATAGTGTGAAATGGCTCTGCTGCATGGATGTGGTGAAGGAAAAGGGCATACACTTGCAATGTCCCTGGGGGCCATCTCCACAGGCAAGTGTATGGGTATAACATAATCTGAATTGTACATATGGTGCATGACATCTTGAAATATAGCCCAACCAGAGAACTAACTGGTGCATGGTTCATCCACTTAAACTTTGACTGCAAATATACATTACTTTAGAAGAAATCAGATGCGAGCAATTGGTCAGAACACTTGAGAGACAAGCTGTACTAACCCTTTAAGTGGCAATGTACCCTGCTGCACCCTACTGTATTTTACTCTATCTAATGCCAGACGATTTTACTCGCCAACTGTAGAGTGCTGCCACTCAATGGGTTAAGGCATATTTGGTGCAACACTTCAATTATAAACTACTTCTGAACTGCCAGTAAGCATAGGAATGTCTACAAATATCTACTAGGTGTAATGTCTTGCCATACTGCATTGTCAGGCAAAAACATATATATTTACAAAACATATTTCTTAAGACAAATATCTAAAAACACCATATGATTTACAAAGACACAAGTCTAGTTAAAAGTCATGTCCCATTGCATGGCTATATGAAGCCTATCAGACGTTTTACTTCCCCAAGACAAGTCTGTCACAAAGCGGCATAACATCACAAAATAATTGTCTTTACACTTTTCCAAAGTACAGAACTATAAAACTGCACTGTCAATTTTTTTGTTATATTTTGAACAAGTTCATATCTTGCGATAAATTATCCTTAGTCTTCCAACATGTCAGAATCACCCTATAAGAAAAAATAAATTTATTTAAAATTTATTTCATGTCATTCTCAGTAAACTCAATAGAGATTTAGATCGAGGACGCGGACGTCAAAGACGACGTGAAAATGGCGTGTTGTGCCCATGTATGGATATGCCACGCCATTTTGACGGCATTTTCACATCGTTTTTGACGTCCGCGTCCTCGATCTAAATCTGTCTAATATCTCAATCACACAGAACAAGGCTCTATAGCAAGACTGAGTCCTTTCTGAAAGGGTGTATTCTCATGTCAATATATTCCATCAAATACCTTAGCATTATACTCATCAAGTTCGGCATCGAGTTCTTCAGCGGTTTTGATCTTCTTCATTCCACCTCCTCGTCCACCTCGCCCTCCACGACCTCTACCAAATCCTCGCCGTCCCCGAAAACCACCACCTGTTCCTCTACGTCCCCGAAAACCACCTCCTTGACGCCGAGGACTGTAAAACAATAACACAAGGTCAAAGTCTGACCAAATGGAAAGGCTCAAGCCTCAGTAACCACACAAATATAACTATGAAGCATTTAAAATTTTCTGTGCATACACATGTAAAAACATGGATCTCTGAAGCACCTAGGCTGATGCTTGCATCTACTTCTGTTGATGTAAGAAAGATAGTATACACACAAACCTGAACGTTTCTCGTTGTTGTGAAGAATTTCCATCCGACATCATTTCGATTTTCATGGCCCTACCTATATGATATACACACATCAATTTTTATAACAAATGTATTGACATTTTAATAATAGAGTCGAAAATAATAAAACACAAAATTAGTAATCAACGAACCATCTAGCGGTACCCCATTATATTGTTTAATTGCGTTCAAAGCGTCATCTCTGTTTTGATAAACGACCTCCGCTGTACCGTGTGACCTTCCAGATGCGTCATAATGAACACATGAACGTTTCATTTTCCCAAACTCGCTAAAGAGTTCCTAAATAAACAAGGAACAATGTTTTAACTGACTTGTTCATAACTTTAAAATAACAGTAAGCTTTTCATCATATTTACAGAGGAGTTTCACTAAGCATCATTGTACAGGGGATGGTAGTGAACCTGTATTTATCAGCGTAAGAAAATAATGTGAAATTGTCTTCATGTCCTAGACTTGTGTTTTAATCTTGAACTGTCTGTGCCAGTGTAGGTAGTGGCAATAATATGAACAAGCTTTCGTTGGTAGGGATGCAACTACCTGAAAAAAATGAGAATTTTGATGTTCCTAGCGAAGGCCCTTCGTCTGGACTTGCTAGTAACTCATTCCCCATGGTCCATCTGGAGTTACTTCGCTCAAAACTTCAAAATTCTCCTTATATTTTTCAGGTAGTTGCATCCCTACCAACGAAAGCTTGTTCATTTCCGAAAGTGGCGGATTGATAGATACAACTATCTGAAAAAGATAAGGAGAATTTCAACGTTTTGAACGAAAGCCCTTCATTGGGAAGTTACAGACGAAGGGCCTTGGCTAAAATGTCCAAGTAACTTCCCAAAACGAAGGATGTTAGCTCAAAATGTCCAAGTTCTCCTTGTATTGTTCAGGTAGTTGTATCCTTAATTGGGTCATTCCAGAAAACATCCATACCACCCCCACGGAGGAAATGGGAAGTTAACCCCCCTACCCCCTTCAGATGTCCTAATACATTTACTATTATCAGAAACCCTCCCCCTCCGGATGGCAGAAATTTCCTCTGTGGGGGAGTATGGATCTTTTCTGGAACGACCCATTAATGGCACTACCTACACTGGCACGGAATGCTCAACATTTCTGAAATTGGTCGCCATCCACTGCCGTGTAATGCTTACTGAAATTAATCAATCCTTCTCTTCTATTGGTCAATTATACCTGTATATCTGATTCGGAAACTGCAAAGTCTAAATTTGAAATATGAAGTTTCGATCCTGTTGACAAACCACCAGCTGATGCCGATCTTCGATTACCACCACCACCACCACCGTTGCCGTCAAACATATCATGTTGCCATTTGCTGGGGAGCTGTCTTGGCTAGAAAAATATTGTTGGCTTTTTAATGGAGAATTGGGCACCAAGGAAAGATCTTGGTACATCACATGAATAAATTATCAAACAGGATAAAATTCACCGCTATTAAGAAGCATCAATTTATTTTTAGTGATAAAAATCAACTGAAATTTATATGGTATCATTTCAGCATTTCAGAATGAGAAAATACTTATGTCAGACAAATAGCGTCTAAATATTGGGATAAAGTGTCGGACAATTAATCACTGCATAGCTTTTATTGCAGTGATTTATCATGGTTTCACATGTTTACAAGGCTATAGAACAATATCTGTATATTTATAAACAAAATCTGACAATACCACCTACATAAAACACGTAGCCACTAGCTACAAATACTTGATACTTGCATAGGACTTTTCAAGGCTTATTAAAGTATAGAAGAGAACAAAATCCAGCCTCTAGCCAACACTAGCAACACACAAACGTCCAGAATACTCACCCTACTATACGGTGTTTCACGAGTGGTAGATCTAGTGTTGTAGCCTCGACCACGTCGTGTTGGCCCTCCACCTCCTCTAGTGGCGCCTCTCCCTCTTCCACGGCCACGTCCTGTCCCTCTGGTTTTCTTGCCCGCCTTTATGATATCATCGAGTGACATATCAAGCTTATCCATCGTGTTTTATGGCCGGATTTTGATAAAAAACAAGTCAGAATTCGTTTGAAATTTTGGAATTGTCGCTTCCTCGTGTTTCGTTCGACGCCACCGGTAACTAGTGCCAGGCTTCTCGCGAACACCTTCCCATAATTCTTTGCGCGCCGAACCATTGCACTAGTGCCCAGGCCTCCAACTTTTGACCGAGTGATATACCAGAGTTCCCTGCGCGCAAAATTAGTGCCAGTCTTCCAAAATTCAAAAAGTAGTGTAATCCTCTGGAGACGCCAAAAATTGCCAAAATACAAATTGCGTAAAAAAGTAGGTACGCTTTGCGCACAAATTGGCAAACATCTTCCATTCCGGTTGGTAAGACACTTTTCCTCCCCCCGTATTTTTTTATGATATTTGCTTACATTTTTCAACTGGTGCAAATACACAATACATTTATTGCCTTTAAAAATATACTTTTATAAATATAGTTTAATTAACTTAGAATTACTATAATTAGCTAAAATTCCATATTGCATTTATTCTTTGAGGCGTTGACGTACGTTTCAAAGATTAAACATCACCATTGTTTAAAAATCAGATATTAAAAACCTAGTTAAAAATGTGCGCATTCTAAGATATATTAAGAATTTACTACCAGTCTCTCTCGTGAGGTTCCAAATAGTCTAAACCCAGGTATTGAAAAACATCTTTTTCATTGAACACTGGTAAAGGTGTGCCTTCCACAAGACGCTCCTGGCCCTGAACAAACAACATATTTGTATTTTATAGCTTTTGCGCAACTTGCGCTTGGCACAATTTGTTTCCATCCGCGAGAATTTTTAGACGTTTCAGAAGTAAACAATAAGGTAAACATATGCATTCAGTATAAACATGGCGCACGTTAACGAAAAACGCTGCAAACAAAAAATATAAATGCTTGTACCTTTCTGACAACACCAGTATTAAGAGAGTGTTCAGATAAAGACATGCCCTATAAAAGAAGATCAATAACGATTAAAATCCAACGACATGATACCTGGTTTACACTAAAGTTTCTGTGATCACAGTAAGAATTTTGCACACGTAAATTCTAAGTCTTGAAGGATTTGTAAGAAATGTTTTGAGGTAATTAAGTGTTGGACATAGCAGTTAAAGTGGATGATACACAGATTACTGAAGTAAATTGTCAAAAACTCCTTGGAGTAACGATTGACAATAGATTAAATTATGAAGAACATATTGATCGATTATGTCGGAAACTCTCGAAACAGCTTGGTCTTCTTAAACACATTAGTCCGTACCTCAAGAAACAGCAAAGGGAGTTGTACTTTAATAGTGTTATAAAGCCTACGATGATGTACGGGAGTGTAATCTGGGATAATTGCAATGCTGAATGTTTTCAAAGAGTATTGAAACTTCAAAAGCGGGCAGCCCGGATTATTTTGGATGCAGAAAAGATGGCACCTTCAATTGTTATGTTTAACACTTTAAATTGGCTTCCTTTTACCAAGGAGTCTTTGATCAAGAGAATAATATTAGCGTATAAGCGTGTAAATAGTGCTTATAATACTCCTAGCTATCTAAATTCACTTTTAGCGCGAAATTCAGACAGGCATAGTAGGAATACACGTTATTCGAATTTGAATATGCTATGCCCAATTTACAATCGTAAAACAGAAGGAGGCAGAACCTTCACTGTAAGAACAATTATAGACTGGAACAAATTAGATTTGAACGTCAGAAGTATACATTCTGCTTTTAGCTTTAGGCGTAGTATTTATAAACAGTTTTTAGATGATCAAAAATGTGCAAATAGGTTGCAGCGTTAGGGTCGTGTTTTAATAATTTTAACTTTAAATAGGGACTATGTTCTAATATCTTAAATTTTGTAAATTTTGAGGGCCACAAGTTTATCAGTTTCTAACTGTCACGTGTTACCCTCAGTAAATAAAGCCTTTCACTTCACTTCACTTCACAAATCATTTTGCTAGAATTTACCCATACAAAATTTGAAAAGGGAGTTTTGCTATTTGAAAAGGGAGTTTTGCTATTTAATAAGGGAGTTTTGCTATTTAATAAGGGAGTTTTGCTATTTAAAAAGGGAGTTTTGCCATTTGAAAAGGGAGTTTTGCCATTTGAAAAGGGAGTTCCGGCATTTGAAAAGGGATCACAGTAAGAATTTTGCACACGTAAATTCTAAGTCTTGAAGGATTTGTAAGAAATGTTTTGAGGTAATTAAGTGTTTAACACTAAATCATTTTGCTAGAATTTACCCATACAAAATTTGAAAAGGGAGTTTTGCTATTTGAAAAGGGAGTTTTGCTATTTAATAAGGGAGTTTTGCTATTTAAAAAGGGAGTTTTGCCATTTGAAAAGGGAGTTTTGCCATTTGAAAAGGGAGTTCCGGCATTTGAAAAGGGAGTTCTGGCAATTTGAAAAGGGAGTTCTGGTATTTGAAAAGGGAGTTCAGCCATTTGAAAAGGGAGTTCTGCCATTTGAAAAGGGGGTTCTTGCGTTTGAAAAGGGAGTTCTGGCATTTGTAAAAGGAGTTCTTGCGTTTAAACATGGAAGTACCGTGAAGATCATATTCTACAATAACCCGACATGTGTGTCTCGACTGGCAGATATATTTTCCAAGGGACCGTGGTTTGAGTCAGGACTACCTATATTCTAACTGGATTTAACTAAAACGTAAGAAACATGTTTTAATTAAAAAGAGAAGTAGATACCTTTTTCCGGGCCAGCAAACGCATGGATCTGTTTAAGTAGTCTGATCCGGTGAAATAGATGAGAGAACAAGCCCACTCTGAATACGGTACAACGATAATGTCAATACGACGGTGCTGGAAGAAAAATAGGAGATGAAAATAACATGAGATTGTCTGTTGTTATGTTTATTTATTCTCACTAAGTATATCCGTTAAAGAGACCGCTCTCACAGACAAGTGAGCATTGTGGACATTTATTTATAGTCTATAAAGATGTAGAGTCTGCAAGAACGCAGAGTCTACTGAGATGTAAAGTGTACATCAGACATTATCATTACCTTGTGACCCTCGCCAGGCAGTAAACACACTCCTAGATATTTTCTTTGTTTCTGATTGTCCATCAAAGTCAAATCATCAGTGAGAAATCCTAATTTGAAAAAATACAGTTATCAGTTTGGTGAGATAAGACATTGGCACAGTAGTGTACCTTTTAAATTTTAAGCGGAAGGTTATATACAATTTTAGACCTAACAGGAGCAGTTTTAGTTTAATGTTTGTTCGTTCACTGCAACCAGGTATATCAATCATGTTTCGCCCGCTACTCTGGTTTAAATAAATGATTACAAAGCCCAGTCGAATTGTAATCAATACCCAACGTTCCGACACTCCAGTCTAGTGTCTTCACCAGGGGTGATCTAAAATTGCAATCGTGGCTTCTTAAATACCCAAGGGATGACGTCACCTGCCAATGAGATGCATATATTCCTCTGGCAAATAGGCACCGTCTTCCCTATTCAAAGCATGATTACTCATATTTATATGCCAGTTTTAGTTTAGTTCAGTTCTCTCCTGTAGTAACACTGGACATATAAATGACGATCCTTACTGGATTTTTAGGAAGAACAGTTTAAAACTGATGAGCTATCCAGCACAAGATACGTTAGTTTGGTTTAAGTTTCCTTATGTAGTACAACTGGACAGTTGAGAATAAATGTAGTTTTATACTTTCGTAACTGACTAACCATTCTCCTTCAGTTCGGCCAAGAGAAGAAACATGACTCCTTCATGTGAGCGACCATCAGGATGAGATACCAAGACATCAACATCACCACATGTTGACTTACCGCGTCGGAATGACCCACATATCATGCACTCGAGTGCAGGATCAACGTCACATGCTGCCTGCTTTACGATATTTCCTATCTCTTCAGCCTCACTTCGAGGCATTCTATCCAAGAATTCATTGTAGTACTTGAGACCAACCTGCTGTTGTCGATTCAGATTCCCATGTTCTTTCAAGTCATCAAGAGTTTTGAGGCCCTAGAGGCACAGCTAGTGTTAGAAGAGGCTGGTTGATCGTGGTTAGCACGCTGCTCCTACTCCTGAGCTAAGCCAGCTACTGAAAAACTAAATATAATTGTGGTTGTTTCTCTCTTGCGCTTTGAGGGTTTTTCTCTGGAAACTCCGGTTTTTCTTCCGAAAACTAACCCTAAATGAAGTGTTCTACTTAGCCTACAACAAGATCAAGTTTGAGCTGCACTGTTCGAAATTCAGCACTTAGCTGGAAGGAAACTTCATTATCACCTAGATTGAACACTATTACTGAGGTGTTCAGCACGCGTTTCGTGTTCTTAGGCTCTCAGCAATCTCATACTTTTTCACTTATTTTACCAAAATGGCTAACTCTCGTCAATACCTACCTTTGCCACCCAGGTTTCTGCAGTCTTGGGACCAGCTCCCCAGAGATTACAGAACAACTCCATGGCATCCGTCTTGGCATCTAAATGATCTAATCTTTGAAGATGTCCAGTTTGAACAATTTCCCAGATCTTGTTGGCAAGTCTTTCTCCAACAAATGGTAAATTTTTGCATTCCTAAAACAACTTATAATGTCAGGAACAGGGTCGAAGTTACTTATCCCAGCAAAATGTTAAACTTCTATACTATTATCTTAACAGAATCGCAGCAACAAAGACGAATATTCAGATGTTGTATGTGGGGGGAGGGAGGTGAGAGTTTTGTCCCCCTATAGCAAGGTCACTCATTTAAAGGTTGCTTTCTCGATGTACAGCGTTTTTGTTTATACCTCAAGTGTCTCAATCTTCTTTGGAAAATTCTTGATAGAAGCAATCGCTTTCTTGTAACCAAGTGCCCTCCATTGATCATTACTGTTTTTATACACTTTCTCTAAGACCTAATAATATTATACAAATAGGCTTATTAGAGAAGGGTGCTTATTAGAGAGCAGCTTATTATAGAGGGAGGCTTATTAGAGAGGGAAGCTTATTAGGAAGGGAGGCTTATTAGAAAGGGATTCTTATTAGAGAAGGGGCTTATTTGACAGGAAGCTTATTAGAGAGGGGGCTTATTAGAGAGGGGGCTTATTAGAGAAGGGGCTTATTAGAGAGGGAGGCTTATTAGAGAGAAGGCTTATTAGAAAGGGGGCTTATTAGAGAGGGGGCTCATTAGAGAGGGGGCTTA